AAAATATCATTTGATAGAAACCTTTCGAGGTTTTAGACAAATAACGTTACGGTCTCTGTAGAAAATTTGTGGATTTCAGTTTCTTGGAACTCTACCACTAAATACTGCAAAACAGTACAAACGTTGTTAACACAATGTAAACGTAACTTGACACAATGTGCAGTAAAACTATTTGCTTATGTTCAGTTTGCCCTAAGTAAATCTTGTAAGTTATTCACGAACAACTGATAAACTGATAAAGAAATGAACTGTTTCCCTCTGCTGAAAATCGGTACTGATAAACTAATATAACAACTGAACAAAGAAATGAACTGTTTCCTTCTGCTAAAGGATCGGTGCAGATAAACTAAGATAACAATTAAACAAAGATATGAACTGTTTCCCTCTGCTAAAAATCGGTACTGATAAACTAATATAACAATTAAACAAAGATATGAACTGTTTCCCTCTGCTAAAGATCGGTACTGATAAACTACGATAACAACTGAACAAAGAAATGAACTGTTTCCCTCTGCTAAAGATCGGTACAGATAAACTGAGATAACAACTAAACAAAAATATAAACTGTTTCCCTCTGCTAAAGATCGGTACTGATAAACTACGATAACAACTGAACAAAGAAAGGAACTGTTTCCCTCTGCTAAAGATCGGTACTTATAAACTACGATAACAACTGAACAAAGAAAGGAACTGTTTCCCTCTACTAAAGATCGGTACTGATAAACTACGATAACAACTGAACAAAGAAAGGAACTGTTTCCCTCTACTAAAGATCGGTACTGATAAACTAAGATAACAACTGAACAAAGAAAGGAACTGTTTCCCTCTACTAAAGATCGGTACTGATAAACTAAGATAACAACTGAACAAAGAAATGAATTGTTTCCTTCTGCTAAAGATCGATATTGATAAACTACGATAGCAACTAAACAAAGAAAGTGAGCTGTTTTCCTCTGCTAAAGATCGGTACAAGCTCTAATTCAACCTCTAGAAGCTTTAATACACCAAGTATTACACTGTAAGCGCTATTTTATTGTTTTTTATTTAATGAAAACAAGTAGTTGATATCCATTACACCTTCACCTTATCCTTCATCTTTTTTCGTATTGTTTCTTTTTATATACCTATTTTTTAAACACTTCTTTCAAAGCACTTTTGAAATAATGTCATCATTAGGTATTTTGAATCTTGTAAAATCAGAGTTAATTTATATGATTATTAAACTACATATATACTCATGTTAGTAACTCTGTAATCTCCTAAATACGAGTTTTTTGGATAAAGAATGTTTAACGGAACATTGATTCTATTTGAAGACGTATTTTTTTAGTTATTAGTTCCGAGTGTACAAGGACTGTCAATCACTGCTCAATGTATGTATCCCCTCTAAAAAGAACAGTGTATTGCAATTTATTGAAACAATAATGCTGTAGAAATGATGTCAACATCATGTAAACGCAACTTGTTACAGTTTGCAGTACAATTATGTGCGTGTGGTCAACATGTTTCAAGTAAATCTTGTAAATTATTTTTGATAAAACTCTGTCGGTTTTTGTACTGAAGAAAATATTCTACATGTCCCATCTCGTGGTGGACGGTGATTAGCTGCTCTGTAGTGACGTCAGTACACTGCTTGATCCTATTGATAGATAATTAAATACTTTATTGAACGTAAACTATTCTGGGTAAACGTTTTCTGTGACAGTGAAACCTGTTGTTTTTAGAAATGGAGCAAATCCAGGTTTGTTGTTGCTTCAATTTTACATTCTCTTGATTTTCATTAAGAAGATATTTTTCTATCACATTTACAGACACGTGCATTTACTGAAAACTTTTTTTTTAAATGTCATATATAAACTATTTGCTTCTGGTCCACATGATGTACTAAATGTCAACACTTAGAGATAGATTAGTTTGATTCATACAAGATATATATATATATATGTATGTGTGTGTAAATTTAGAAAGCTAAAGATTCAGCATTAAACCATTAGTTTGATAGCTTTATGTGAACGATATTCTCGACCGTAATCCCAATAAACTCTCATGAGAATCGGCCAGTTTTGGGGTTTTAGATTAGTCTTAGATCCACACAATGCAAAATTATCCTCATAAATGTAATTATAGTACAAAAACATAAATCTTCTATTAAAAACATTTCTCTAGAAGCGAAAACCAAAGCTGTATAATCTATCAGTTGAAAAAAATTCGTAGATTTTCCACATATAGTGCGTTGTATCTCCGCTGGCTTACTATAAAATTATCAACTGTTTACTTAAAATGTACAAACAACTTAAGTAAGATAAAGGATTGTTTGTTTTTGTTTGTTTGTTTCTGAATTTCGCGCAAAGCTCCACGAGGGCTATCTGCGTTAGCCGTCCCTAATTTAGCAGTGTAAGACTAGAGGGAAGGCAGCTAGTCATCACCACCCACTCTTGGGCTACTCTTTTACCAACGAATAGAGGGATTGACCGTCACATTATAACGTCTCCACGGCTGAAAGGGCGAGCATGTTTGGTGTGAGGGGGATTCGAACCCGCGCCCCTCAGATTGCGAGTCGAATGCCATAACCACCTGGCCATCCCGGGCCAAGATAAAGGAAGGGCTGCATTTTGAATTTAAACACAATTTTATCGAGTATTTGTAATAATTATTAAACCGGCAGACAGTTTATGTAAACATGGATTTATCAAGTATTTTTAATAATGATTAAACCGGCAGACAGTTTATGTAAACATGGATTTATCAAGTATTTTTAATAATGATTAAACCGGCAGACAGTTTATGTAAACATGGATTTATCAAGTATTTTTAATCGTGACTAAACCGGCAAACAGTTCATGTAAACAGGGGTTTATCCAGTTTTTGTAATAATAATTAAACCGTTGGACAGGTCTTGTAAACAAATGTCCACGTCTTTTTAATCGTGATTAAACCACCAAATAGGTAGTATAAATACAGGTTTATCAGGTCTTTTTAACCGTGATTAAACTAGCAGACAAGTCTTGTAAACAAATGTCTAGCAATTGTTTTTAATCGCAAGTAAACACGCAGGTAGATCAAGTAAACAGAGGTTTATGAAGTATTTGTAGTCGTTATCAAACCAACAAATAAGTCATGTAGAAAGTAAAGTTATTCATCTCCATGTAAGCATTTGCAGTAGGTATTTATTAGATACGTTAACCTTATACCCTAATACTGACGTGTTCCTTTTTTCATCATGGAGGAATTTAAATCTGAAGAGGTTATTCAGTAATTATTATAGAGGTAAATGAATTGAATTCTGTTTTGATTTAAATCTGAAGAGGTTATTCAGTAATTATTATAGAGGTAAATGAATTGAATTTTGTTTTGATTTAAATCTGAAGAGGCTATTCAGTAATTATTATAGAGGTAAATGAATTGAATTTTGTTTTGATTTAAATCTGAAGAGGTTCTTCAGTAATTATTATAGAGGTAAATGAATTGAATTTTGTTTTGATTTAAATCTGAAGAGGTTTTTCAGTAATTAATATAGAGGTAAATAAATTGAATTTTGTTTTGATTACTGAACAAGAATATATTATATAGAAAAAAATGAAAACCCACAAAGGTGTTATTTAGTGTCCTAGTAACCGTAAAGGTTAGTTTTTGTTTTAATCAATATTTTAATATTTAAGAAGTAACTATCCTGGTAGGGTAAACCGGTAAGTTGTCAACATATGGTTCTTCAAAACAAACAATTTAAACAAAGCATGATAGGGCTAAGTAAATCAACCACTCAAATCTTTACAACCGCTTATAACTATGTATTAGTTTAAGGTAAGTCCCATTGCGTTTGTATTTAAGCAAGGGGGACTGACTGAAATGCATTGTTGTCCAAAATGTTTGAATTTCGATACAATGCGTGCATCCAGCAAAATAGAGTACTCAGGCTCCCCATATATTCGCGGGGATTATTTCCGCTGAATGACACCGTTTCTTGTCATTTTACTGAGCGCAAGAAAAGACCGCTACAGAAGTGAGCGTTTTTTGACAATGTCAAAAGGCAGATATTCAATTCAAATCAATGTATTCGATATGGTACAATAAAATCATGTATGTATACAATACCGACATGAATATATATATATATATATATATAAACTGAACAACAACAACAAATATTTGCTCAAACACGTTCCTCTTTTCATGTGTTTTTTCCGTTCATGTTCCTATCTTCAAAATGTTTCTTTCAATCCCATTTTTTCCCTGAAATTCCCTCACAAAAAGAAACAATTTTGTTCTTACTAATAAGTTTTTCTCATATTGACCATTTAGCACATACAAAGACTGACGAGTCAATGTTGATATTGATATGAATTTTTAGGAATTGCAAAAAAATAAATAATTGTCCTATAATGCGCTCTTTAAAAGAAGCATTTTCATATATAATTTTTGGGGGTATTAACCGTTCAGGAGCTACAAAGACAGGTAGAAATTTGGCTATTATATATATATATATGTTCATCTTCTACTTGATGTCGTTTTTGTATTATATATGTATGTCTATATTCCCAGTTCTTAATATATATGTTCATGTTGTTTAGATAAATACCCTAGTGTGTATTTGTAAGTAGTATGTATGTGTACTGCATATGTTCGTTTTCTATACTTGGGAATGTATTATAACCTATTATAAAATATTTAAAGGGACAAGAATTTATAGTTAAATCATTCTTTAAACAAGTGAACAAGAGAGTTGAAACCAGTAGCATCGATTATTCGTTGAATACAGTTGTAGTTCGCTTGCTACAACCTATGAGCGTCGGATTCACAGTGGTTAGAAATTGTTACATTTGGCAAAGTAGTAGAGTACTTTCACTAGTAGAGGTCGCCACAATATAAAAAATTACAGTTTTTGATGTTGTTGTTTTTGAAGTTAAGCACTAAGCTACACAATGGGCTATCTGTGCTCTGCCCAAAACGGGTATCGAAACCCGGATTCTAGCGTTGTAAGTCCGCAGCAGTTTTTGATTATTTAGCCTTTTTCCCCCAACGTTTATTGAAATGTCGGTAACTACGATACAATTTTAAATCAATTTACATTTTTATATGAAATTATTGGTCTTAAGAAATATAGCTTTTTCTATAACTTATTTTTTGTTGTTAAGATTATCTAATATTCCCAGCCAGTTTGAAATATTATTTTGTAAAATAACGTTAATAGTTATAACTCATTTTAAATTATGTTACGCATTTATTTAAAAGCTTATTAACCAACCGTTAACGAAGGTCGTCCCAGTGAAATATTTACTATGCAATTTTTTTTCCTTAAATTGACGTTTCTTTATAACTCATGTTTTTTGTAACTTAAATTACCAAACTTTTCAAATTCCTCCCAGGTTTTCATGAAGCTATTGGTGATATAATGTCGTTGTCCGTCTCTACTCCGAAACATTTACAGGAGATCGGTTTACTTGACGAACTCGTCGAAGACGAAGGTAAGCTCAGTTCAACATGAAAGGTTTCGTCTACATTAAATCATAAATGTTATTAATAATAAATGAAAAAACCTAGTATCAAAATAATAACTTCTTCGCTATGAAATTTTTAACGTTCATTGTGTGATATTCTGTTCATTTTGGTTTACTCTCGTGCTGATTTTCTGCTATCCTATGAATTCAAACTTTTTTACTTAAAAGTTTTTAAAGCGTTTCTGTAGTTAATTTAATTCAACATTTATTAAAGCTGGAACATAATTTGAACAAAAACATAATCTTTGTAGCTATAACATGTTTTTGAAATATTATCATGGCTTACACAGCTGTAACATGTTTTGAAGACACAGCGTGATTTTCATAACTGTAGCAGCTGTAACGTGTTTGAACTCATAGTGTGACCAACAAAAGTGTGGCAGTTTGAACATGTTTTAAAAGCATAGAATGATGTACATAATTGTGACGGCTGTAACATATATTGAAAACACAGAATGATGTACATAGTTGTAACGACTGTAACATATATTGAAAGCATAGAATGATCTACATAGTTGTATCATCTATAACATGTTTTGAACACATAGCGTGACCAACAAAGTGATGTATACAGTCATGCTACGTGCTTTACACTTCCTTACTTAATTCTAAAGCTCACATACAAATTTTCATACATGTAAGTGTATGTAGTTTAACACGGAATTTTGGTCAAGGAAGAAGCTAAGTTCCTTTCGCCTTAGTTTCCTATTGTTCTGTGTCATTCGCCTAAGGCATCTCGTGCACCTTCTCGTGGGAAAGATTTCTGTTAAGGTAGTAAATAGTGTGTAAAAGTGGACAGCAATTTGTTTCATTGGCGTATCAAGTGATACACTGAGGATGAGGATACAACCTCCTTTATTTTTCGATGAGAATGACCAACGGTGATGTGGGTGGTGTCCTGGGAAAAAAAATATTATTAGTGGATTGTGTGTAGATAATGGTATATTTTCAAAATTTGGAACAGTTCTTTACAGGTATTTACTTCTCCATTGGGCTTTCCCAAACCTCCAGTAAAGGCGTCGCCTTCGTCAAGCTTATCGTCTTTGGTTATTTAGCTGAATAAATAAAGATTGCGATACATTGTATCCAGTCTCCTTCATTTTTCACAACTCGGTGAAAGTCGGGGAATACAATTTAACTCTACAAAACAATTTCTGTCGAATCTTCTGCTATTCTGGAGAACATACCAGATTACTGAAATCAGTGCACCTGGTTATATCACAATAGCTGTAATAACTTTAATACGTTTTGAACACATAGTGTTATCTAAGTAGGTGTAGCAGCTGTAACATATTTGAGGTACATAGCATAATCTACATAGTTGTAGTAAATGTAGCATATTTTTAAAGCATATCTATGTATGTAGCTGTAACAGTTGTAACTTGTTTTGAAAGCATGGTGATCTGTTTAGCTGTAACAGCAGTAGCATGTTTTGAACGCATAGCGTGATTTACTGTAGCAACTTAACATGTTTTGAACATATAGTGTGATCAATATACCTGTAGTATGTTTTTAACAGATAACGTGATTTACATAGCAGTAGCAACTGTAACATGTTTTGAATACATTACGGTTGTTTGTCACTTAGATTTCAAGAATTCTGAGCATGCTTTGGCTTATGTAACTTTCAACATTAAAATTAATGAGGGAATATAAATTATTAGACAAACAATTGTTAGAACTAAACTTTTGATGCGTTAATTTGAGTAAAATAAAAATAGCCAAAACATTTTATACTTCAGAAACCGACATCAACTTTTTATTGGCCATGGCTCTCAAGAAGATCGTTTTCCTGCCCTTTGGTTACCTGATGGACTTGTGGCGATGGGATATCTTCAGTGGTAACACTGCATATGAGAACATGAATAAAAAATGGTGGGAGTTGAGGTACGATCTCTATTTTTGTTTTTGTGAAAAATATTTATAATGAGTGTACGTAGTGCAGACTTATTATGCAGACTTATCTAACGTCCATACTCGAAAATTAATCACCAGAGACCTGTAGTATTTTATTTTATAGGTGAGTTTATGAGACAATGGGAAAGACGACTTCAATGCCTAAAATAATAATTACCAGAAAGCGTTAATACCAAAATTTGTTTATCCAATCTGTTAACGATGTTCAATGTGGCCGCTAGTTATGTCCAGTGTTGCTTTTAATCATGAATTATACTGTTTGACCCAACGGTTACACTTACATAGCAGACTTTTTCATTTAAAAATGCTCTTCTTTGAAGTATAATGAAGGAGGAAAGATAACATGGTCCAAGTTACACCAACAATTGAACCTCCTTGTTTAATCTGTTTATAAGCTTCCCATAAGCCTTACTACTACATTTCCTCTCTGTTTTCCAGGTGGTTAGAGCACTCGCAATCTGAGGGTCGCGGGATCGAATCTTCGTCACACCAAACATGCTCGCCCTTTCAGCCGTGGGGCATTATAATGTTACGGTCAATCCCACTATTCGTTGGCAAAACAATAGCCCTTCTAGTCTGACACTGCTAAATTAGGGACGGCTAGCGTAGATAGCCCTCGTGTAGCTTTGCGCGAAATTCAAAAACAAACATAGTGTTCGTCAATTTCACATCACTATTGCATTGATGTTGTACCAGCGTTATTACTATGGCTCTAGTAATGCTTTATCAGAACAATTACAATGTGCAGGGAAAAATTGCTAACAGTTATTCTAATTGCAGAATAAACCAGAATCTGTTTGATGCTGTTTTTATAAAGGCACCGGAATACAAATTTCACTATAGCACCTACTCATCATCTACCATATATTACAGCTTTCTGAAAATTTGTTTTCAGGTATGGACAGTGTAATAACCCTGTATATGGTAAGTATAAAACTTTACGGCAGAAAAGATATAAAAAAAATATTTATTTCAGTTTATCTCTTTCTGCAGGATTAAATATCAAGGAATTTCACCTCCATCAAAACGTTCTGAGAAGGATTTTGACGCGGGTGCTAAGTATCATATTCCATCAGGTGTACCATACATCCGGTAAGAAATGGACAAATAACCTACTCATAGAATAAAGTATATCATATCTTACGAATAGTTGCGTATCTTTACATATGGAGTTTCATACATCCAGTAAGAATTAGACAATGGATTCAAATATGCTTTAACATATACAAAAATCAAAATTACTGTTGTACATTTTGAACCGCAGTGTCATTACTGAATATGTTTCTCAGCTAAAGATCAATTATTAACAGCTTTGAATACAAACAAGTTTACCTAAACTAAAGTCAAGTACACTTAATTCTATACTTATTTGTTGTATGTTATGCCGAAATAAAAATTCTGGAAATACATTGCTTCTAGTTTCTTAACGTAAGTAAATTCTATTAGAAAATCTTATTTGATATTACATATATGAATTAATATTTGTATTAATTGTGATATACCTTTTTATTATATGTTAAGCCTAATGTCATATTATAAATAAATCTAACTAATCATAGAGGATTACCATTTTGATTTTAACATATTTTCAATTTTCCACAGTTTGGTTCGATGATCCTAAAACAAAACTTACGTATTATTAAGCTATAATTATGACTTAAACTTGCCTGCATTCTTATTCTTGCTGTGGTCGAGAGTACAAAGAAGCGACTATAAGAATCTTTACCAATATAATGAAACCAAACAAAAATATCACATTAAAGTAAAATCGTACTTACTTTATTATGTAGTGAACAATAATACATGTTCACAATTTCAAGATCAAGCACTTTACAGCTGAAAAATGCACAATGAAGAAAAAAAAAGAGACATTTCTACATCAACAAAGAACTCTCAAACAGTTTGTTTGTTTGTAATTAAGCATAAAGCTACACAATGGGCTATCTGTGCTCTGCCCACCACGGGTATCGAAACCCGGTTTCTAGCGTTGTAAGTCCACAGACATACTGCTGTGCCATTGGGGGACCTTTCCAACAGACTCCTTTTTTCAGTTACACTATTTCTACAAATAAAATTACAATATTGATTTGTAATTGGGTTAAATAAACTCATATTGTAACAAAACGTTTTTGTTGCAGTTATTTTGTTAGCTTTGTCATCCAGTTCCAGTTTCACGAAGAACTCTGTAAAAAAGCTGGCCACGAGGGACCACTGTACAAGTGTGATATTTACAGGAGTAAGGAGGCAGGAAATACTCTAAGGTATTTAACATGTGTTTCATATAAGTTGTTTTTTTAGATTTGTTTGTTTGTTTGAAGTTAAGCACAAAGCTATACAAAGGGCTATCTGTGCTCTGCCCACCACAGGTATCGAAACCCGGTTTGTAGCGTTGTAAGTCCACAGACATCCCGCTGTGCCACTGGGGGGGGGGGGCAGAAAAGTTCTGAACAGTGATATAAAAACAGAAAAAAAAGAGATGACTGGTAATATACCTAATCACCTGCATCAGTGGAATCCCCTGATAGACCCATAATTTTGTAAACAAGTATATTTGCATTTAATGGTGTTTAATTGTTGAACTGTTTTAATGAAAGTACTGGGATTTGATTTTGAATAAAGTTAGAATTTTTATTAATAAAGTGATGTATCCCCTGCTTTTAGTATTTGGAGACAAATTATCATTATTTCTTTATTTAATTTTCAATAAGGTAGTTTAGAAGTGTGCCACTTCAAATGACCGTTTCGGTACCTGGCTTGCACATCTGTATACTTAGCACATTTATTGTTTCCTATCTCTTTTAGTTTAGTAAGACATTCAACCTAGTATTTTCAACAGTTCTTGTGCACAAAAGCTTCCAAGTGGGCGTGTAGCTTTGACAGAAATGTATTGGTCATGCAGTGTGGCTTACCGCATTTTGTTATGGTTGCCTATTGTTCTGGGTCATTTCCCTTTGTTGTCACATGCGCTTTATTGTGAAAAGTAAAGTATGCTATATAAATCTAAGAAGTTGTGAGTAAAATTAAAGACGTATGTATAACAATATGTCAACCAAACTATATCTGCTATATGTAATGTCAATGGGTGGTCTTTTCGATTGGCAGTTTAGATGATACCATGAGGCTATATCCTCCTTATATTTCCATTGTAATTACCCAGAGTAATATGGACACTAAGATGGATATCACTTTACCGTTTCGTATATAGTTCTGTGTTCTCTCAGTATGAGACAATAACAGTTTTCTAAATCCACACAACCACAGCAGGAACTTCTCTCTTTCCCTAAACTTGAAACACTGTGCACTCGTCCACTTTGACTGTTTTGGGGTTTTTTTAATTGAGCAACAATAGTTTCACACTGTTTATATTGTGTTCACTCTCCTTCTTGTTGCAAACTCAAGTCAAGTCAGAAATATTCAGTTTAACACTGTGATACATTTTCTGACGTTCCTCAAGCTATTGCAATTAATACTCTTATATCTAAGTTTATCACTGTACCTGAGAATACCATTCACTTAAAGTTACAATGTATTGATGTTCTCCATATTATACATGACAAATATTTCTACTTTGTTATTATTAATGCTATTCTATATCGTCAAACCTGGTAGTGTTTAATAATTGATATTAAACTATAATCCTCGAACTTTTCTATATTTTAAATCAGTAATATCAAACTACACGATCGTATCTCTATTACGATATATTACTAAACCCTCTCTAGTGAAGCCCTTAGTCTGGGGTCATCTCGACCGTGGCCGGAAGTTATGCAGTTATTGACGGGTGAGCCCACTATGAACGGGAAGTCATTGGTCACATACTTTGAGCCATTAGAGACATGGCTGGACAGTCAACTGAAAGATGAAGTCATTGGCTGGCCTGATGCTAAACGTGAGTTTTTGTTTTGTTTTATCTTTACAAGCTATTTAGTCATATATAAACTTGGAGTACATAGTCAACATGAAACATATAGGATTTGTAAAAAAATATAAATTTCTGATAATTATCTTTGGATAACATATGTTAACATCGCACGATGAATAGACGTATATATCACATTAAAGTGATTTACAAAACTCTGTATCATTGTTCAAGCCTATATTTAAACATATTACTCCTAGGCTTATATGTTTTTATTATTATTTCGGTCTTTGTTCTCATTGCTTTGAACAGAGGGTTAGGAAGTACATGAAAAAATTAATTATCGTACACCCCAAATGTAATGATTATCAGATAACTTAAATTTCACAAGTTTATGGATTTTGTGAATATTTTTCTTGGATTAAATAAAGGGGGCTAGCTTGGCCTGGTGGTTAACGTATCAGGCTGCGGTTCAAGGGGCCAGGAATCGAGATGTGAACACGCTCCGATCTTTCAGCTTGGGGACTAGACAAAAGTATACAGCGTTTAAATATGTAATAGGTCAAATATTAATGTTTTAGGACAATTATAATTATGTTTCGCCAGCTTGTAAAGAGAGTACACACCATAACATCTGTTGAATCAAATGGCTTAAATAAATAGTGTTCCGACCACTGCTGTGTTTGTTGTATTCTAGACGGCCTGAAAAGCTCTGTATAGAGCGAAATGTGACGTAGGTAATGGATATGACAAATACAGTGTGGTGGGAATACCAGTATTATACTAGCATACACACTTTTAATTCTTAAAAATCCCTAAAGGACTAGATAAATTATTTAGTGTTTGGAAATGTAATAGGCTTAATATTAATGTCTTGTGACAAGTGTACTTGTAATTAAACTTTGCCAATTTGTAAAGGGTGTACACACCATAACAAATCTTGTTGTGTTCCCATTATTTGGTTGAAAGACCCAGACAGGCTTTCCTTTCTCTGTGGTCATTAGTTCAAAATTATAGATGGCTGAACCTGAACTCTATGTGGGTCTCTGACCTGGCCGCTCAGTCCACTAGGGCATGAAGTCGTTCAAATTGAGAAATTTCATTCTATAAAAGTAAATATCTATATATATTGATCATAGTTTTTTTACACTTTTATATGTGTTAGGTTTCTTGTTATGAGTACGTGAAAGTCATACGTGCTATATTTTAAAATTATGGTGAGTGTCACAGATATATCAACAATTTACAGATTGAAAGGTCAGTCTTTATCTGGTTACAAATCATATACTTACTCACAGCGACATCTAGCATACAAAAACGTAAATTCAGTGTCACTAAAAATTTTTTATCGATATATTCGGTGTTTTATACTGTTACGTTTGTTTGTTTGTTTCCAGTATTAAAATATATTCACAGACTACCCGCGCTAACATTCCCTAATTTTGAACAAATAGAGGGAAGGCAGTTAGTCAACAGCATTCACCGCTAGCTCCTGGACTACTCTAATTGAATACTGGGACTTAACCGTCACTTTAATGACTCCTCCATGGCCCCACCGTGCGGAGTGCGATTTTGCAGCGACGGGACACGAAACATGGATTCACAGATTCACAGTCCGATGAGCTAATCCCTAGTCCATTACACCGTTAGGCTCCAAGCCAATGATACACAACAATTTAAGTATTTTCATTGTTCTTCTTATTTGATGTTGCTACGGTAAAACCATCGTGATCTTAGTTGAATGTTATCTTCTTGTTTAGCCTAAAGTTATGAAAAGAGCTAAGATCTATCTGCGCTAGCCCACTCTAATATCTAAGTGATAGACTAAAAGAAAGGCAGCTAGTCAACACCACCACCAATTCTTGGTCTACTCTAATCGAATTGTGGGATTTCGCATGACATAATGACGCCCTTACGGCTGAGAGAGAGAGAGTTCGTTTGGTGATATGAATTCGAACCAGCACTCTGCAGATTGCGAGTCGAACGTCTTAATCACCAGAGCATGGCAGACCCTAGAGTGAAGCTACTAATTTTCGTATCATATCCATTCGAGCACAACACGCGAATGAAGTTATATTTATTCTCTATTCTAATTTGTTAATTTCTTTTTTCTCTCTACAGTTGAAGATTATTTCGAAAATTGAGAAAGAGCTAATGCTACAGCAAAAAGAACATCGCGCCAACAGTAGTCAGAGTTTTTCTGTTGATTATTAATGCCACGTTCTTGTAGGAATTCGAATAAAATCATAAAATGTACATTATTTTACAAACGTCTGTTTTTACTTTTTTTCCCGGAGCGCCATTCACTCACATTCAGCATATTCCTTTAATTTCAAGGAATATGTGACAACCTTTCTTTGTTCGTTATTGTTTGCAGCCTGCATCAAGAATGACTTTTATACTGTATTTCAAAAGAGATTATTTACAGGCAAATAAAATCAATAATATAAACAATGATACCAATTAATGATATTTTATTCATTTTTTCCAGTTTTTAGTGAAAAGTTGTTTCTGCTTTTAAATAATGGTGTATTTGTGATCATTGTCGTACAAAACACTTGAAATTAAAGAAAGTTGAATATTTATTTCACGTTTTGCGGAAAACAGTTAAATATTTAATTACATGACGATGGTAAAAACATATTATGAACACTATTTTAGAATAACTTAAAGTTTAGTCAAATATATGTTCTACTTGTATTGAAGAGATATTTTAAAGAAATAAATACAACCACTCCAGTCCGTTTTCAACAAAATTAGAGGTCGCTGTAATAAGTAATCGTCTGGTGTTAAAAAGTTGTATAGTTTTTAAAATAGCATTTCGAGAGAAATGAATTAATACAGTTGACAACAAGTTTCAGTGTTGCTTTAGTTTTATGTGATCATAAAAAAGTAATTCACATCCGTCAAACACTTTATAAAAATTCTCATACAAATGGAAATATAATGTAAGTAATATATGTCAAAAAACAATTGAACACCTTTCCCAGATAAACAAACTTCGTGGAGATTGCCGAGAAACGAAAAAGTTGGTAATTCAAGAGCGTAGAAATTAATGCCTTGGAAATTTGAAAGTATAACAGGTCATTTTTAGGAGTATATAAATATAAAATAGAATTACAAAAATGTAGAATTCCAGATAACCGAGGATGGAGTCCTAAATTGTAGCTTTATAGCCACTAAAGCTTACCGCTGAGTCAGCATGGGGAGGGTGGTAGGTCGACCAAGTTACCGGATCGATAATCTACAAGGAATCATTTATAGAACCCGATTAGCAAGTGGTTAAGGCCAGAAGAATACAAAATGGTACTGAAGTTAGCAGAAAACGTAAATAAATATTTCGATATATTTGTTGTTCTTGAGTTGTTGATCACTAGGCAGCTTTAGATATTCGGACAAAGAAGACACGCACAAGTGGTTGAAAAAGCCTAACCAGTTGTTAAGTTCACTTTTGTCATCAATAAAAATGCGATCGAAACCCGATAAATCTTGATTCTAATCAGACCAAGACCAATAGTCTGTGTTGATATCGTATGAATTTTTACGGTTATTTCTAGAATAAAATGTTTTTTTTTCCATTGTTCGTTTCACTTCGTAAGATTTAATTAAAATCAGTATCTGGGGACCTCTCAGTAGCTCAGTCTTAAATTCGAGGGTAAATAGCGCTACATTTCGAGGCTCGGTCCCTGTGGTGGGCATAGCTCAGATAGCCATTGTGCAGCTTTACATTTAAAAACAAACAAACAAGAAAACATATATATAGGGGTAAAATTCATCACCGCGCTTGAAAACTGGTAACACATGAAAGACTGTAGTTAACGTTTTGTTTTACCAAATTTCTTGCTAGAAATATTTGTTTGTTGCTAAGTACAAAGCTGCACAATGAGCTATCTGTGCTGTGCATACCGCGGGTATCAAAACTAAATCTTTGGCGTTATTAGCGATTAGACTTACCGCTGAATTAGGGAGGGTCTTGCTAGAAATGATCTATGCATAAATAATGTTTGTCTTTATTCCTACGCAGACACCCATTTATATTCTAGAATCATTCATTTGGAGAATCATGGTGTTTAGAAGATAAGTGGTTTTGTTTTGATTCACTGTATCAACCTAGATAGTTTATCATAAACGAGGTAATTTATATGATTTACCAAATTTGATACAAAGCAAACAAACAGATGGTCAAACGTCATAAAGTATTTAAAGACCTCGAAAACCATGATCAAATCAGTACATTATTTTAAATCCTCGAAAACCATGATCACATCCATACAAGGTGCTAAGTCCTAGAAAACCATGATCATATCAATAAAGTGTTCTAGGTCCTTAAAAACCATGATAATATCAATACATGATTCTAAGTTTTCGAGAACCCTGATCAAATCTACAAACTAGATTATAAGTTTTCTTACCAATTTATCAAGTCGATGCAATTCACGCGTGATTAATAACAACTGAGCACGTGTATATTCAATTTGAAAATTAATGTTAAATTGGAGAAACCCTACTTACGCCTAAAAGAGTTCAAAGCATTTGTTTAAACAATAAAAACATGGTACCGCCAGTCATTATTTGAAAATATAATATAGATGTGAAATTCCACAATATCTGCCCCCCAGTGGCACAGCAGCATGTCTGCGGACTTACAACGCTAGAAACCGGGTTTTGATACCCGTGGTCGGCAGAGCACAGATAGCCCATTGTGTAACTCTGTGCTTAATTCCAAACAAACCACAATATCTCTAGTTGACGTTATCTACTTTTTCTACTCACTTATAATATAAACTTAACTGAATGTCAGAGGTGGTATTTCTGAGGTTGATATATTTCTGTGGTAAATCTTTAATAAGTTTCTTTCAGTCAATGATTTGCTGAAAGGGACAATGACATTTACTAACAGTTTATTTAATAGTACCGGGCACATACTAGAGACTAAATGCAGATAGAAACCCTAACAAAACGTTAAACTCAGAAAAGAATGCTAAAGCCGAAATGTGGGCAAGGACACTAGAAGTTGAAGGGGATAAAGACTGAATATAACGATTGGTAACAGAATAAAACAAGAGCACTAATTTGTACTTGACTGAAACACGAACATTTATTAACAGTAGAATAAGACACGAACATAATAGCAGTTTAATGTGACAAAGATGTAAATTAATAGCAAGATGTGAAAATAAAACTAGTAGTAAAAATTGACAAGTCACAAACTTGTATCAAAAGTGTTTTGGTGAACATAAGTTGATAAGAAAACATGAATAGGACATTAACTTGTAGATGAACAAACAAAGATAATGGCTAATTATAGGCAAAAACACTAATTAAAAAGAAAGAGGTAATGAATACTTACCAGTAGTACCATTCGGGCATTAGTTTAGCTAATAGCTGAATTGGGTATGAACACTTGGTAACAGCTGAATTAGGTAAGTATAATTAATATTAACTTCCGATCATAGAAGGGTACCTACGAAGAGTTAAACTAAAAATCAATCTGGTATAGCCCAAAGAAATAAACTTTTCTTACGTTCTTATCTATAAAGATTAGAATGGACTGTTTCATCATTTAGATGCCCAGCTCTAAACGATATTTTTGTCTGTAAACCCAATAATATATCACGAGGTTCGGCTACCTCAGGAGATCTAGATTAGTCCTAAACACATATTTTAAGCTAACAATGCAAAAGGCTAAAAACCGGGTTTCGATACCCGTTGTGGGCAGAACACGAATAGCTCATTGTGTAGTTTGTGATTAGCTTTAAAACAAAATGCCAAAAATATCTATACTATAACAATAAAAATGATACTAACGAACTTAGATATATTAAATATACCGTTGTAATGTTGTTCTTTCATTAGGTTGGTTCTTTTAAATTATTTACTGAAAATAATGGCAGATATCGAGTCATCATTTACAAATATACATCTAGACGAACCCGTTGACCTTTGTTCTAACCTTGTATTTGCTGAAGGTGTAACTAAAGATGTCTTTAAAACACTTTTACGTTTTGCGACGAAACAATCTCATTTTATGCTTAATGGTAAAATATGTGAATAACTTGATGGAATGATTATGGGGTCCATCCTTGATAACCCATGACAAAGTTTGTTTATAGTCCTGTTCCGAACGTTTTAAACTTATGTATTACAGGAGATCGTTGACTTCAATTTTATGGTGTTTGGAGTCGGTTGAGGAATTTCTAGTTTTTAAATAGTAAACATCCCAATATAAAGTTTACTGTTGAAAATCAAAAGACTAACAAATTCTCGTTCTTAGATGTTCATCTCTCAGGTAAACAGAGTATACTTACCATTAAAGTGTATCATAAACCCATTTTCATTGAAATTCATTCATATTGTGAAAGTTTCACTCTTTCAATTTTTAAAGAAATTTCTCTAAAAACCTAGCTGTACAGAGCGTTTAAAATATCAAGAAATCAAGACCTTTTTAACGTAGTTTCCGTTGTTTTTCCTAGATAAAATAATCCACACAAAAACTGAAAAATAAAATACTCCATCTGATGTTACGTTAGATACTTCGAAGAGCTCACAGTGGCTGAGCAGTAAGTCTGCAGGCTTACAACACATGAAAATATGGGTTCGATACCCGTGATGGACAGAGCACAGATAGTACATCGTGTAACTTTGTGCTTAACGACAATGACCCAGTGTTTCTTAGTAACTATTACTTTAGTCTTATCCTAGACATTATTTCCAAATGAATGTGATACTGTGCTTCTTTACAGTTTCCGCCGCATCACCTTCATTCCCAGGAAGAATTCCTCCTTAGAATGCTAGAAACTCTTACCATTAAGCTGAGGAAGACCATATATTAACTCGATTGTGAAAATGGAAAGGAAAAACAGAACATAAACTTTGATCGTTGAATATGAATTAGACTAGAATCCTGAATATTTGCAATAAATAACACTGATCCTAACTACAAATACTTCATTGAATGACTGGCACTCTACCAACTGAAAACTGACTGCTTACCATTATCTATACTAAAGTTTTAATGTAGATCTTTGTCGAATATCTCTTAACTTCAAGTTAACATACAAATCAAAACTTTGAAAATAGAGGTTATAACAATACTAACCAATACTGTTAATAAATGTAGCTGAATTAGATTATATAAATATCCTTTCTAGAAACAGAATTAGACAAGCCATTTCCTACTAAATAAATTAGATAAGTATGCTTGCTAGTAGCTGAACTACCTAAGGCTACTTGCTAATATCTGAGCTACAGAGGGCTACTTCCTAGTAAC